TGAGAGCTTTAAGAAGCTTTCTGTATGGCGAAGAGCTGTTCTCCATGTGCCCCTTCTTCTTACACGTCATAATCGTAGATATTTTAGTCACGCTTTGTCGGAATCGTCTCGAAGCGCTTCAAGTTGCTCCAGTCGCGGGGCTGGAGTGGTCGATTCTCCACGACCTATAGGCGACAGAGTACCAGATCATGAGGAAGCAGTAAATATGGGAGGAGTTCCCGATGATGATGATGGGTTTTCAAGGTTCAAATTTGACTTTAAGAGCATCTTACTAGACAACGTTGTACTTATTTAAGATGTGCTCCTTCGGAGGAGAGTGATCATCCACCTCAGCTGCAAGCTGAGGCTGTTATTGCTAGTTCAACTGGAGGGGCATCAAGCGATGAGGCCCCACCACGTATTCATGGCGACTCTCAAGCAAAAGAGAATACCGATGCTGGAGCACCTCCCATAGTGCGCGATGACTACACAGACGATGATGATGCACCACCTCAACTCTCACCAGCAAACATTGAGCCGAGAGCCGTACTTCCTCGAGAAATGACTGAAGAAGAAGTCAGTCATTTGCATGTTTGTCTTGCACTGGCAATAGTATTTCCATATGTTTGTCTTCGTACATAGTACGCTAGTACTTCCAGAAGCAGCAGCTTGCTATGGATCGACCTCCAAAGGCACCGGCGATGTTAGACAAGGTGGCCGACGATGAAAGCGAGGTGCGTGAATCGAATGTGTTATCAACGTATAACTTGTTCAAGATCGTTTGATTAAAGAGTATATACACGACAATGCTGCCAGTGCAGTCACTTCCAACAATGGAACAACAATGCTCGTCAGTATCTAGTCAACCAGTCCCCACTCCTTTGCAGCAGTTTCCCGCGTGAGTTTTGCATACCTCTATATTTCAATTTCATTTTTTCGCGCATTGGACATGAAGTATCTAATATTACACATTATGCATACTTGGTTTTATGCAGAAGTCTGAAGCAGACAACACCTGGCAGCGTACCATCTTGCCAAATGCCAGGTCAGCACACCCCAGAAATGCAGCAACAAACGTTCATGAGTCCGGTTATGCAGGTGTGCATTGAAGAACTCTCATTTCTCTTTTACTTTTACAACTGTTTAGAATGTATGCGCGCAGCCGTCATCAGTGTCTTCAGTACACTCTCAGCACAATTCCTCCTTGGAACTAGCTGGAGGTACAGGTCCTTCCAGTCAGTCCGCCTATGGCAATTTGGCTCCGCCTTCAGCTGGCGCATCGGCAGTTCACTCCGATCCCAGCACCCCGTTGCGACCATCATGTCAAGCGTCGGCTCCGGCTTTCGGAAGTCCACCACAGCCGGCTTCTATACAACAACAACCACCAGCCCAGGAAATGCGCGTGAGAACATCGACAGAATCAGTTTCTCAACAGCCTTCTGGAGGATCGAGGAGAAGCGGAGAATCATCCAGATCAAAACACCGAAGCACACAACAGCAGCAGCAACAACAACAGCAGCAGCAGTTGCAACAGCAGGTAGAGTCCTTTGTTCTCAAATGTTTCGACATTAACTTTGAAGTTCAGCAACAACAGCAGCATATGGCAGCTATGCATACTATGTCCTTCGCTGCAAATCCATATGCAGGGATGGCGGGAGCTGCTCATCCACAAACATACTCAACTTATCCGTCTGCATATCCTACCCATTTTGATCCAACCACCGCAGGATTTTCAACGGCGAATCCTTATTGGCAAGCAAGCTATCCGCAATATGCAGCCGCGAAGGCTGCGCCTGGCATGGGTTGGTGTTTTTTTT